AGAGAGAAAGGACACATTAGACATAAGTATAGGATTATTTTGGTAGTTTTGTCTAGAGTCCTTAAAATGTTGGCCCTTGCTGGTGGTGACCAAAAGCTGTTTCCACCTACTAACACTGTTTGGGAGCCCATGAGAGGTGATTTTGGTAGGTCATTTATCCTCTAGTGGGCAAGTACCACAAAAACTACCGTGTCCTATCAAACTCATTGGATGAGGCTATCAGCTGAGGCCAAGGATTACATAGATCATGAAATTCTCTTCCCAGCCTTCATGGGACCTCTTCTATGAAGAACACCAATGGAGAGAGGAGAAATGTATCACTCTCCTGATCTCATGAGAGAGGCCTCTTCTTCTTGCTTATGACTTCAGAAAGTCAATTCCTCCAACCATTTAAGAGTAGATCCATCAATATTACTGCAGTCTTTCAGACTGTTCGCTCCCTCTGGTAAACCACAAAGGGCAGTCAGTTAGTATATGCTGGGCTGTCTGATCTCCTTTGCCACAGTAGCATGATGGTGAGTTTATAAAGTCCATTTTATGTTTGATTTTGTTGAAAGCTCCATAGCCTAATTGCAGTCAGTTCTGGTTTACCCATGCCTTACGTGGGAGTGTATGGCCAGGAAGGTGTGAGGATGGTGGTTATATGTAGTTGTGTAGTGGGGTGTGGTTGTTATTCCTTTGCACTTCCCACTTCTCTGGGGCCATGTTGACAGTATTGTGTCTCCTGCTTTCTCTGTGATGCTTCTGGCAGATACTGGTAAGGGCTTTCTGCTTATTAGAAGTTTCTGCGTTGGATATTTTTCAATCATGTCATGTAGTGGATGATCTTCCTGTTGGGCTTTGGTGGCAGGTCAAGCAGTATTCCAGACCTCTTGATGTTATGAGGGGGGGATTCCTGCCAAGATGAACATGTTTTCTTGTTCCATGTATACCAGGCAGCCACTTATTGTTCATACTGCAGAATTCAGGGCACTATCCAGTTTGCAGGTCTGGGAGCTATTTGCCCACACAGGGAGGCAGTATCTTGCTGGTGCACAAACCATGGCTAATGTAGTTGTTCTCAAGATACAGAAGTTGGCTCCCCATGTTGTACCAGCTAGTTTCTTAATGGCTGCTGCCCTGGAGGTTACCTTATGCCTCAACTTCTCCAGATGGTGGCAGAAGGTTAGGCTTCTGTCTAGAGTGACACCCAGGTAGGTTGGTGTCTTCTCAAAAGGTAACTCTTTTCCCTCCACGACAACTCTTATCTTGGCATTTGCGGCATGATTGCTCAGGTAAAAAAAGTGTTGAAGTGGTCTTTTGTATATTCAGCTTCAATCACCACTGTTTTAGGTAGGAAGTGGAGTTCCATGTCACGATTCAATTTGACCTCTATTGATGATATGTGATTACTGGCAGCAGCAAGTGCCAGGTTGTCTACATACATGTATTTAGTCAATGCGGGGCTTACATAGTCTGCCATGTAGATGTTAAACAGGGTGGGAGCTAGGACAGAGCCTTGTGGTTCTTCATTCCTGAGTCTCTTGTGACAACCGGTCTTTCTGCATGATGTACTCAAAGTAAAGGGCCAATTTGAGGTCCTCTCCCTGATAAAGTTAACCAGAATTCTGTTTGGTAGCATAGTAAGTAGCTTATACCAAAGGTCTGGGTGCCAGACTATGTCGTAGGCTGTTGTTAGGTCAACTAGAACCATTCCAACCTTTTCTCATTTCTTAAAGTTGCTCTCAATATCAGCTGTAAGAGCTGCCACATGGTCAAGGGTTGATTAGGATGCAAGACATATTCCTTCCTGTGGTGCAACCTGTGAGTAGCTGAGGAGTCTGTTCCACAGTGAAACGAAATACATCCATCAAGACAATTTCAGAACGTTCAGAATGATTAGTCAATTACAGAGGCCTCTACTCTCCAGGCATGTCAGTTTGACACTTCAGCACATTAAATTAAATCCTGTTGATTTTAGTTATTTATTTTAAGCACAAGAGCAGTTGCAAGATCACAAGGCAGTGAAAGCTAACATTCACTTTATTTTATTTTCCAGATCAATAAAAAAACCACCAAGTGTTTCCACTTGAAGCCCCATGTGTAGGAAGACAGGGTCCTGCATATTGGAGTATGGACCCTAATACTATACCCAGCCATAAGAATCTTACAACTTGGTGTCCCCTCTTAAAACATACAGAAGAAAGGGAAAGGAGTCTTCCTTAATGAAGAGTGATGGAACTATAAAAAACAGTTGCTCAATCACTGCAGGAGCTGTGAAATCCTGAGGAGGGAAGTGAGAAAATAACATTCTGTACTTAATCTCCAAAAGGAATTTAGGCACCAGTGGCTGGTGAACCTCATGAGTTTACATATAAGTACATCCAGCCAGTCCTACCTTTCTGCTCTCTTTGTGTCCCATTCTTTCATTTGTAACTACATGGACACTTCTCTCCATCTGCTGACCCAATCTGAATTTCAAATTCAGATGCAGGGGGTAGAAACCTAACTTACCACAGTGGCATGGAATGGTTTCCTGAACCAAAAGCTTTCACCAAATTAATTAATCCCCAAAGTACACTCCTTCTCCAACTAGTCAGGCCACATCAGTAAAGAAGGCAGAGCCCAAGAATCCCCATTATCACACTGAGTATCTGATGAATTCACCCTCCTTTGATGCAAGTTCCCTATGTTTCCTTGCGTTCCAGTCTCTTGAGCTTCACTGCACTTTTATAGCTGGATCTAGATATTACATCATAAACTGCTCCCTAGCACTGGCTCATCGCTAACTCACAAGAGAACAAAACAAAGCAGAAAATCTTTCATCCCAAGGCCCCTCTCTCATAATAGGCCAGCTTTCAAACCACCTTCACTTCCTTTGAGGGAAGCCACTTTCCAAGAACTGATGCCATTTCCCATTTGGGTCTACTGCCTTGCCATGTACTGAGTATGCACCAGCAGTGCAGCTGGCCACCATGCACTCAAGAGATCATCAGAAAAATTTTGTTCCTATCAAACAATTTGTACCTGAGAGGCATCTTTCATCCAAGGATCTCAAAGCAGTTGACAATTGTAGTCAGAGGGAGAATGAGCAAGTCAGTGACAAAAAAAAAGAAACCAGGCTTCAGGAACCCCGACTCCCACTTTCCTCAGTCTCTATCATTTCTATTCTATTTCTGTCCCTTTTTAGTCTCTCTCTGCTTTTTACCCATTGAGTTACCATGTGGTCAGAATAATGAAAACTATGCAGTCACTAGCACGGAAGATTGTTGTTATCTTCCAAATGTGTAGAATTTGTAACCTGAAATAATGATTTGCAATTTATACTGCTGTTGATATGAGTTGATGACATCACATAGACAGCTAATTTCTGATTGTCCTAATGACCAAAGGGACATTCAAAACCTTCAGTTAATCAATGTAATACCAAGAAATTTTCAGTTCCTAAAGTTATTGCAAATTTAAGGGACAGAAACAGATGCAGTATCCTATGTAACAAATGTAGTACCCTGAATGTACATAATCAGGGTTCAGATAACCACAGGTTACCTGGACACAGTGGTGTGCATGTTGTCATAGGGAACAGATTTTCAAAACAGGGCAGGGCACAGAGTTAGAGCACTTTACTGAACTGGATTCTTGAAAATCCATTTACTGATTCTGCTGTTGAAATGGAAGCTGAAGTCTTTTAAAAACAGGCTGTTCAGGCTAAAAATTCAGAGGGGACCAGTGAGAGAATCTAGGTCATAGGACTTTCCTGAACTAATTCCTGTTTGAAGTAAAAGAAATCTTTTAGGAAAATATGCAATCTCATTTGAAAAAAATGTCCATGATAGAGAATTCATTCCAGCCTGAGGAAAGTTGTTCCAATGGGTAACTGCCCTCACTTTGAATTGCGCAAAGATGTCTCTGATTTCTAGTCTGAACATGTCTAGCTTGAACTTCTGGCCATTATACTATTGGATTAGTTAAACCTTTAAGACTAATAGTCCCCCTGTTATTGATTTGTTGTTCCCCATGTAGATATGTATAGGCTATGATCAAGTTATCCCTCTACCTTTCTGGCAAGCTAAACAGGGACCCTTTGAGTCTCTTACTACAAGGCCTATTTTTCAATCCCTGATTTATTCCTGTGGCCACTCTCTGAAATTTTTCTAACTGATCAACATTCTTTGTGAATCATGGACACGTAGACAAGACACAGTGGGTGTGTCTACATGTTCATTAATGCACTTTTGCTATTGCATATTAAGTTTAGTACCTCTAATGTGAGGTACTAACTAAATGAGCATTAGGCTGTCCTAATGCACAGTTGTGAAAGCACATTGCTTTTTAGTGATGCTTAATGCACAGTAGCCTAATTTTACTGTGAATTAGTATATTAGCATGGTCTTCCCCATGACGTTCTAATGTGCAGTAAAATAGGCTACTTCACATTAAAGCACATGTGTAGACACACCCAGTATTCCTGTAATGGTTGGTCACATCAGAGCCTCACATGCAGAGATAACATGACCTCCCTACTCCATAGTCCCCTTCTTATACATCCATGGATTGCACTAACTCTTTTGGCCACCAAATCACCCTGGAAACTCATGTTCAGATGATTAGTCATCATGATCCCAAATCCTTTTCAGAGTCACTGCCTCCCAGGCCATCCTGTATTCATAGCCTATGACGGGAAATCAGGAGTTACTCCATCATTATCAATGGCATTACATCTGTGTGAGAGGAGCATTGTGGCCCTAGTGCATATCTTATAGATACTTCAAAAACTTTGGGCTAACAGAATACAATACAATATAGTCATGTCACAGCTGCAATAGCATCAGAGAACTGTATTTCACAGTTGCATCATCATAAGCATGTAGTATAATATTTATAAATGTGTGAGACACCTGTGACAACTTGTATATCATATGCACCAATGCCACTGAAGTATGCAAAGATGTGAACTGCAGTCAACTGCATTATGATTGGCTGACTTGCCTCTGATGTCACAGTCCGCTACTCAACAGTAATTGTCTTAAAATCAAAGGGTAAATTTAAATGACTTTTTTCTTCATGACATCAAAGCACTAAACAAACCCAAAGATGAACTGAACAAATCAAAAGACAAATTGAGGAATATCAGTAGGCTGTGAGAAGCAGCAAGCAGAAATAGGATTCCCTGGCTCCTGAATGCCTCAGGACACCGTGTTGTAGAGGAAAGAGAAAAGATAGCACTTCCAAATCCATCCAACTTCCATTTGGGATGGTGAATTATTACAAAGTTTTAGGACTGCAAAAAAATGCCTCTCAAGATGATATTAAAAAATCCTACCGAAAGCTGGCACTAAAGTGGCACCCTGACAAGAATCCTAACAACAAGGAAGAGGCAGAAAAGGAATTCAAAGCTGTAGCTGAAGCATACGAAGTTTTATCAGACCCCCAAAAGCGCTCCAAATACGACAGATCTACCAATGAAAGTAGGCAGAGAGGAGGGGGAAGTGCTACTGGAGGCTACTACAGCCCATTTGGTTCTGACTATGTATTCCGTAACCCAGAAGAGATCTTCAGGGAATTTTTTGGAGGAATGGACCCCTTTGTACAAGATTTCTGGGACAGTTCACTTGACAATGATGGGAATGGTAGTGAAAACAGATACAGAGACCATAGAAGAGGACCTGGCTTTGCTGGCTTTGATGTGTTTCCTGATTTTACACAGTCATTTATGTCATTTGGTTCATTCCAACCCGGTGAGCACACTACATTTTCCTGCAGGTCCTTTGGAGGTGACACTAATGGGTCAAACAATTTCAGATCAGTCTCAACTTCTACCGAAGTTGTCAATGGCAGAAAAATCACTACCAGGAAAATCATCGAGAATGGACAAGAACGAACTGAAGTGGAAGAAGATGGCCAGTTGACATCCATCAAAATAAATGGGATGGAACAGCTGAAATGCTAGCTAGTCACTTACTATGCACGTGCACAGAAAAGTTAAATGCAAGCTGTTTGGAAGACCTCAGATGAACTTGTGTTTACTGATCTACTGCAAGTAGAGGTAATAAAGAGCTTGATTGAAATTGTGACACAAGGGGTGCTGACTTTTGCATTAGTTGGAACAATTCCTTTGCAGGTAAAGGTATATAGATATGTTCTTCAAGTATAATTTTAGTAAACCTAATAAAAGTCTCAATAGTAAGTATTGGAAAGGAAAAAAACCAGCCTTCCTAGCTTACTAAAGAGATTAAGCTGGTTATTTTAAAGAGATTAAATGACTCTGGTGAGAAAACCAACCTTTCTACCAGGTTTCAAGTGTGAGTTTAGTTCAACCTTCTTTATGACCCATGGGAAATGAGTTGATGATGTCCACCTCTTAGGTGACAGACAGCATACATCACAAAAGGTAGTCTTATTAATAGTTTTAGCACAGGTATCAAGAACTCAAGCAGCATGAACTGTGCAATCTTTTTTCATCCTTGGAGACAGATTCTTCTTTTCAAGGTTGAAGTGTGCCAGTAAGATGAAACAAAGGAACTCTTCATGGCCACAGAAACTGCCCCAAGGCTAAGTGAAGAACATCAATCATTCTGGGTGGTAAAACATGCACTAGGTTCACATTTACAAAAAAAAAAAAAAAAAAACACCAAAAAAAAAAAAAGTTTTAAAAAAAGTAAAAAA